TAGAAGACCCCAGACCATAAACCGAGACCAGCTCCATGATGAAGCTCCAGCACTTTCCCCGGTGTTCAGCTCAGACCCGCCGGGATGAAGTGTGTCTCAAAGCGGCGGAGACGAGCGGGCAGACTGCGTGTGTGTGCTTGAAGGGCCTGCAGTCTATGGCGGACACACAGCTGCAGGAATCTCGGACACTTTCCAGGATCCTTCAGCCTAACAGGAAGTCACAGAAACACTCACATCCGGTTACAGCTGATTCCAGTACTGCGCACAATTCAGCCAGTACAGCAGGCAGCCTCTACCTGTCCGAAGGTTCAAGACATAAATCAAACGAGCTGACGGTGAAAAATATAATAACTTTATTTATTTATGATAGCGGGTTATGAGTACTTCATATATATACACTTATATATATATACATATTAAAAACGAGGAAAAAACTGTCAAAGTTTTCGAGATTAAATTTGGAAGGATAAAGCCAGAGACTGGGCTCGCCTTACCTTTTCATAATTGTATAGTGGTGTTTATGGCGAGCGAATGAACGAACGAATGAATGAATGAATCAATAAGGGGCTGGGGCAGGAGGTGGAGGTAAAATTCCGAAGAAAACCTCGAAATTTTCCATAAGGTGAAAAGTGACGCTACTTCACTTTATGTTGCGTTTGAATGAAATCGATCCCACACATGTAATAGCATGCATGCAGTTATAACTGTGCTCTCATGCAGTGTCGCCAGCACGCAGGGACCTCCATGGCACTGAAGATGATAACAGAGTGATTAGAGATTTCTTATTTACTTCAGTCTGTGTGAATTTCTCCCCACCTTAACCCTGAAAACTGAACGAATGGTAACTGGACACAGAGATTTATTTATTTGTTGTTAATTGTGAGTTGTTTTTCCTTCTTCCGTGAATATTTTAATAGAAAGTTTGTGTTTCTTCTCATTTCACCTCAGTGTACTAGCCTGTACTTGAAGGTAAAGGGGTGAACTGTTTATAATAAATCCAGTCGTCCACTAGATGGAGACAAATACACATAGACAAATGCGGACTCTGGTTTAGTGAGTGCACAGGGTGGCCATTTATATGGATACAGCGTAATAACATGGGAATGGTTGGTGATATTAAAGTCCTGTTTGTGGCACATTAGTATATGTGAGGGGGCAAACTCCTCAAGATGGGTGGTGACCATGGTGACCATTTAGAAGTCGGCCATCTTGGATACAACTTTTGTTTTGTCAATAGGAAGAGGGCCATGTGACAGATCAAACTGATTGGTAATGTCAGAAGAAAAACAATGGTGTGCTTGGTGTCAACGTAACTTTGTGGCCATTTATACGACAGGGGAATAGTTTTGTATTATCTCTGGTTTTCACATCACATCTTTGTGATTGTTTCTGTCTGACTGATGCTCTGGTTGGCGCAAATCCACATTTACGAGACTGGAGATCTGTCCTGTGCACCTAAACGGGCTCCACTTCATCCTGGGGATTACATCGATACACCCATCAGGAGGTGTTTAGAACCCCTGAGGAGGACAGTGTTTGCAGAGAAGCAAGCCCAGATGCTGCATGTGCACAGAAACATCTGTGTTATAACAGGACCGGACTTTTTTAAATTAAACAAACTATCTGCATGTCTGTGAGCGACACGAAGGCTCTTGTTTTCTCTCTGAGAAGATGTCCTGTTGCTGCAGAAAACTTTCAACCTTTTTTTTTCACCTTATTGAGTATAAAATAAATCGATTTCAAGATTCTTACAAACACTTAAACCTCTTAAACCTGATTTAAAGTATGATATCTATCTATCTATCTATCTATCTATCTATCTATCTATCTATCTATCTATCTATCTATCTATCTATCTATCTATCTATCTATCTATCTATCTATC